GGCGGGTGGGCGCGGGCCGGGACAGCCCCCCGCGCTGCAGGCCGCCCTCCCCGGGCGCCTTTACTATTCCTACTACGATACCCGATGGAGGGGGCGTCGGGGCCGCAGGAAATGCACAGGAAGCTAGGGAGAGCTCAGGTTTATTTACTGGGGCTGTTCAGGCAGGCGCAGGCTGGCCGGGGTACCACGAGGTGTGGGACCCTGATGGGCTGGAGGCAGGGCTGCCATCTTCAGGCCCAAGGCGAGCCCAGGGAGCAGCCCCAGCTCAGTCCCCGCTGTAACCTCCTCCCGGTGGTTCCCACTGGTCCCCGGAGACATTTTGGTTGTCACTAGGCAAGTGCGAGTACCACTAGTAGGCAGACGGCAGGGCTGCTGCCGAACCTCCTGTAGCACACAGGGAGTCCCTGCAACCGGGTTACCTGACCGGCAGGGCTGGCATGGGGCTGGCATGGCTCGGATTGAGCATCGACCTTTGCACTAGGTCAGATTCCTGGGCAGGGCACAGCAGGAGGGTGCACGAGGCAGCCAATCAGTGACTCCCACCATTGATGTTTGTGTCTCTCCCTCTTCCTTTCTCTCTCTGAAATCAATAAGAACATATTTAAAAATTAAAAAAAGTTACCTGGCCCTTTAAAATGCCAACAGTGCAGCGGTGAAGTGAGAAACCCTGCTGCAGCCAAGGCTAGCACCCCCAAGAGCAGGTGAGGGTGTAGGTGGGTCTGGGCAGATGGGAGCCCAGCACTCACAGCTGGGAAACAGGACAACACCGGCTGAGGCCAGGTTTGGCTGCAGCAGCTCAGAAGTGAGTCCAGGGCTGAGGTCAGGGCCCATGGCCACCACCATGGCCTCACTTCTGGACTCCGAGAGGGCCTGCACACACGTGCCACCTCACCAGGGACTCCAGTCACAGGGCCTGTGCGCCCTGTCCCTCATGTGGTTCCTATTTGGCCAAAAGTCTGAGAATAGAGAGAAACAGGTCTCAGACTAAATGCAGGCCCTATGCCCTCAGCGTTGTGGTTACTTGTAACCCAGGGGTGGGCAGGAAGCTGCAGAAGTCAGGATGGACTCCAGCTTCTAAAGAGAAAGCAGGATCTTACCTGTGGTTCTCCTGGATGCCTGCTCCTTCCTCACCCCACCCCCTTCTTCACCCCACCCCTCT